ACTTAGTGAAAAAAAAATAAAACTTAATACTTCTACATTAAGATTCTTTATTTGCAATCAGAAAGAGATATTTCTACAGCAGTCATAACGTTAACAGTTTTTATGTTTAAAAAAATTAGTGCGACTTCTGCTGTTGCAAGTTAGTGGCCAAATAAATTATATTAGGTCTATGATTTGTTTAGCAAAACGCAAGCTGAACTGGGGTCATCTGACAAAAGGTTTCTAAGTCAATCTTCAATGTTATTCATTTCCAAAAAATAATGACTCACAAGCACAGGCGTAGTTGAAAATATTGTCGAATTAGTAAACGCAGACTTCCTTAGACAGCAAACAGACCCTAGCAGCAAATATTCCAGACAGCAAACGCTATTTCTTCAGATGTGCCTGGAATTGAATTTTACCTTTCTATAATTTTAGTATTGGCATTTTGCTCACATTTTTTGATAATCTTCCTAATTTGATTAATTTTAACCGTTCCTTTATTTTGATAAATGTTTGACCTTATATTGAAATATATTGGAAAACAATTTTCTGCATTTCTGTTTTTTCAATTTCCAACCAATGAAACTTAGACAAATTTGTCAAGAGGAGTCACATCGGGGTTATAATAAATTTGAGTGTTTCCAATAACTATGTCAACTGAAAAACTCTAGATGAAAATTCTTTGATCCAAGAATTTATTACCAAAGAAAACTCTGCAGTGACTTGTTCTGGAATTTTCCTATGAATCTAAATCACTGGTAAATGTTTTCCTTAAGTTTGGAAAATACTTGTACATTTGGAAATAATATCTTTAGTGAAAACTAGCAGTTCAGTCTCAAAAACGCGAATGCGATTTATTATAACGAAAACTGCCTTGCTTGCGCCTTGAAGCTTTATATTCAAATCATCGAAATATTGGCACATCTTCGTAAAAAACATTAGTTTGCAAGGTCACGTAATATCCATCAACTGTGCTCCTCCTCCCCCATTTTGTAAAAGCAGTCTGATTTCATCCAAACAATCAACAAGCAATTGAAGTACATGCCCACGCCTCAACCAGCGAACACTGTTACACATCAGTAAACCACTATCCACCGAATTGACTTTTTATCCAACACAGCGTTAAACTTTCGTTTATTTACAGCCTGCGACATTTGTGAGGTTCACTATTCTTGTGACTACGGCCATTATATCAGCAACAGAGGCGAAACTGTCCTTTACCCACTAGGCTTGTTTACAGTGGAATTAGAGAACCGAATGTCTAATGCCTGTTTGAAATAAACTGATAAAACCATTATTTGTGCTCACCCATACCGGCAGCAGCATCAATTGTTACCGAAATAATTTTATAAACTATTTCTTTCTCAGCAAATGAATTTATAACATCTATTATATATATGTGTGTGTGTGTGCCCTCAGTAGTTGTTTGGAACCAATGTTATCGCAATTAATTCTGCCTTGACATTCTTTTTACTACACGATACCGAGCAAAAACAGCTACACGAGCACAATAGTTACATCCTTACTTTCGTCAAGAGATAATAAAGGGAGAGAACTTGATGTCATTTTTGTTGTTCTTTTACATTTTTCGCCAGTTTCAGAATTCTATTTTTTACTGTGTTTCTAATTCTAATTCTACTAAAATTATTTATTCAATGCTCTGAATTATTTTAGCTTTATTTTCAAAATCTTCAAAAAGCGATTGGAGCGCACTGTTAACCAAAATTTCTTCTAACTTCTCGCTCGTCAAATGACTTACCATGCTGGCAATGACAATTGCAGCCAAAAAACTTGCGGGCACTAGCATGATAGTCCTTGCTAATCATATTATATCTAACTGTTATGACTGAATATATTAGCTAATCTATGCTAATATATTCAATCATAGACGTCGACTGTTTATTTCTCTTTTTAACTGCACATGCAATGAATTACTTTTCTTCAAATTTGCTTTTTGGACAAATAGATTTATGATTTGCTTCATAATGTCGTTTTGTGTGGAATATTCTACATACCACTGCTTCAGATCACAGAACATACACTGCTTTATCGCTTTATTAATCATGCCATATTCCTCGGTCCACCAAGTCTGAAATTCTCTGTTACCCTTATCTTGCAATTATTTATTCATTTATATATGTATTTCTTTGCCAAACTAGCCATGTTGAATAATGCTTAAAGTTGTAAATATAACTCACTCAAACTTAAGCAAGCAGTAGTATTAATATAATTAGTTTAAAAACTATTCTTATTTACAGCCTATGTAGGCACGCACCAAACAAAACAAATAAGTAAATAGCTTCAGGTCCCTCACCGCCGCCAAACAAGTGCGCGGACACACTCCCGGTCGGATAGAAGGAGAGGGCTAGTTACGATCGCTGCCTAAAATAATGCCGTGCCCAAATTTTTTTTTTGTCGCGTGCCATCGGTTTGCCATCCTTGCACTAGATGAATATATTGATACGAAATATCCAGGCGCGATAAGATAGCTTCCCCACAAAACAGATTTAGGGTTGCCACATTTGGCGTCAAAATTGGCGATATGCCATAAACGAATGGAGAACCTTCTGGAACGAATTCTTACTGGTTTAGCCCAGAATGTTCTCGAAGGCAAGCCAAAAGCTACATAAACCCTGCTGGTACGCGAAGAGTCAGTTGATAGTCAGTCAGTGAGTGCCTAGTCGAGTCAGTTAAGAGAGAGTGTCTCGTAGTCTAGTGCCGAGTTAATCGTCGAGTGAGTGCATCGCCGAGTTTTAACTTAGAGTGCGAGCTCCGAGAACGACCGAAACGAGTCGGGAGCTGTACTCTAGTGTATCGTCAAGTGCATCGCGAGTTGCAGCGTGGAGAGTCTCGAGAGCACGTAGAGTTCCGAGAACGACCGAGCAGAGCTGGGTGCTTTGCTCTGAAGCTGTCTTCACCGATGTAGTCTGAATTGCCGCTGATTGTTTAAGCGTGTTCATAAAAGTTGCTCGACGATTGTAAACGTGATTTTAGAGCTGTCCTGCGTAAGACTGGTTAATAAATTTTATTTCGATACTTTCATCAAGTGTCGTCGTTATTGACTCCAAAACCACGAACCGTACGTACGTAAGAAGAAAAACGTAACGATATATTTCGACTAACATGGGAACGTTATACAGCTTCTATACATTTGAAAAGTGAAAAAAATATATAATAAATATATAAGGTTATTCTATAATAATATTGATTGTTTTAGTTAGATATATCTTGAATTAAATGCGTTTTCATTAAAATCAGTCAGATTAAAAATTAAAAAAAAAAAAAAATACTCTTGAGAACTGCATCTATTGCTTTTAAATAATTTAGTTTGTTCATTCATAACATATAGATTAAATATGAAAGATAAATATCTAACATTTTAACGAATGGCAACAAATTCGAATGGAAAGTGAACAACGCATTTACAAAGGACAACATTAAAAATGAAAGCAAAATCTTGTTTCAAGATTAACGTATGAACGTCTTGTCTTTATTAATATAACACTATTTAAATTTCGTTTCTTCTTTTAATTTATTTCCTTCGCCGTTTATTTTTCTATTTTTCCTAATTTAAAAAATTTTTAATTTTCTACTTCTTCGTCCCCCCACCAAACGTCAATCACAATTGGGTTCTAAGTCGCCCGCCCACCCTAAAATGCCATTCCACTAATTTATTTTAGTTACAGTTATTATGAAAAACAATATCCCTAAGACATGTTCATCTTTTCATTAATAGAATACATTTCAGTAACAGAATCATTATTTTATGTTTAGAAATTGTTAAGCCTAACTCGTCGAAAAATTAAAGAGCTTTTACTTTACTTTTGACTATAGCAACCATGGTTACAGGCGTATAAACAGTGAATGTACATGTAAGTTACGCATGTTTAGATTTACGTAATACATAGCTGATGCATACTATACGTTGGTACAGCGCGTACCACCGAATACGATTTTACTACCTTTTCAATTACTGTATTATGATAACATTTATTTATATTATTTTAAAAAAGTAACTTAAATATTCTGTATTTTTAAAGATCTATTAAAAATACTTTTTTTTTAAAATTTATTTAATTTTTTTTGGCACTGAAGATGGATCCTTTGAAATGACGTCCACCATTCTTTTTCTGTTTAGGCACCACTTATAGGGCTATTAGGTTACATTAGTGCAAGAGGGGATCGCTCACTAGGCTGGCCCAGGATATGCCCGGACTCTAATCTCAATGTAGGAGGCTTTTAAAATATGCAATACACTCGCCGGGATTTGAAGTTCGGCCTCCAAAATACGCGTCGGACGTCCTTCCAGTTACACCACGAAGGAGGGAGAAAATTTCTTTTAAAGTGAACAGCGATGCACCTATGAAACACCTGGATGTGTCTGCCAGCATATTAGATGACTAAGGACGTTTTTGGCTTATTTTTAGACGATTGAAAAACTTGTTACTTTTCCGAAACTTCTAACCACATTTTAACGCTCTTTGTTAAGAGAAAATAAGATGAATTTTGAATGTAGCCATCCGCTTTTCCAGATCAGGTACCTAGAAATGGAAGACAGGATATAAACTTCCAAAAAATGCTGTGGATAATATACGCAAAACCATCAACATATGACGGATCAATATATGACGGTTGCAAACTTTATACTCTATATAGTATCGTTATAATGTGCTACACTGTCGAAAACAGTTGCATACATGAAAGGCCGTGTCATTCTGTATTTAAAATAGATAAGCAACCGAACTGCAGTATTTTAAGTACACTTCATAGTTCTACAACAAACAGCATTTCGTTAATCATTAATGTAGCAGGCAAAACCCATAGGAGTTAATTGTCCCATATTTAGTTAATTGTACAAACAGTAGCTGTGTCCCTGCTTATGCTATCTTGCTTCAGTTTAAAATAAAAAGAAATTTGAATTAAGAATAGAATACTTTTTCTCATCTGGAATGTTTTTTGAGACAGCAAATTTAATTTCTTTCAGTTAATCCAAATGCATATTACATATTATACCTTACCTTTTTTAAATCTGCCATCAAAGCAAAGTTCTTAATGACAGCATTACCCTCACTGGGAATACAGTCCCCTGTAAGCATTCTGAACGTGGTTGTCTTGCCAGATCCATTTACGCCAAGAAGTCCAAAACATTCTCCTTCATGAATTCCGAACGTCAGACGATCAACAGCACACAAATTCTTAAACATTTTACTTAAATTATACACCGTTAGAGCTTCATGCGCAGAGTCATTGGAATGAGTGCTGAGTACTCGTTCCTCTTCAGAAATAACATCAGAATCTTCTTCTGTACGGGTAAGAGGAACTTCGCGTTCCACTGGTGTCCCGTATCCTGATTGCTGCTTTTTATGCTTTGATAACCATTTCTCCATTGTACGAGCTTCTAGAGCAAGGAGACAGCAGAAATATATGATACCGTCTAAGAATAGCATCATGATGTCATGAGCGCATGTACTGTAATCCCATTCTAAGTATTGTTTGAAGCAGTTACTTTTGCAAGAATCTGTTTCAAAAGAAAGAAAGAGTAGTTTTTAAATACTGCCAATGATTAATAAACTGCCCAACATAGAAAATGCAACACCATGAAGATTCCACCATAAAAACATGCAAATTGAGGGTAATACGTATCGGAACAAGTCATGCAGATGAAGTAAGATGCAAGTTGGTTACGTGATTATACTGCGAGATAAAATGAAAGGTAACTTTGGGATGCATCACTTAAAACTTACAGGGAAAAAGATGGACCTTCCAAAATAAAATTCGATAAAAAATTAAAAAAGGCCAGTTGGTGATGGACACTTCCATCACCAACTGGCCTTTGTTCGTGAGAAATTTACGCATTCATATTGAGCTTGACCTTCGTATGCTGAAGACTACATTCTAACAAGTTCTTACAACTTTTGCACCAACGCAAATTACTTATATATTGGCAAACCGGCAAATTATAATCCCATCCGTGAACTGCCGTTCAGCACACCTCGCACGAATTTTCATAATCCAGCTTAATAATCTACGCAATGAATCTACTGTTCCAAGTTTTTCAACGATAAACTCAAAGACTTCATAAATCCTAATAAACAGGAAAAGTACTTTGCATGTATTGCCACTTTCTACATATCCTGTAAATACTTTTATTTTTATGACTATTGTATTGTCTGTGTCTGTCGTCTGGAAATTTTATCACTCAATTTGTTTGTATTTGCATAATCATCCTACAACGTCTATAAGCTGTAATTTCCATGTCAATAGTTTCATTTTCTCTGAATCGCTCCAGTTGGCTCCACAGAAATTTGACTTTTCCTATTTTCTGCCTGCACCATATAAGTTACTCAATACCTCTAACAAGCCCCATTCCACCAAAGTTTAACGGTAGCGCATCTTAGCGCTTATTCTCCATACAGCACCACTTGCCTAGGAGCAAATCCAACGATAGGTTAAAGCCCACAGCGGCTAAATGCTTGTACAGAACAAAGATCCACGGACGAAACATCAAATTGCCATTGGCGATGAAGGTACACTCGTCTGCTTCTCCGTTTCGATTAAAATCGTCTGCAGTTTGAAAGGGAAACTTCACATATGAAGCTAATTATTACGTTCCTGCCTCGTGCTTGCTACGTGATTAGTTTATTTCATGATCTCTACTTCCCATTGGAGGACATTATGCTCAGTTTACGAATCTAATATTCGTAATCTTAGTCTTATCATTGAAAAAAGTTCAGATTCGTTCATGGCTGTTCGCCTTCCTGGTTGCAAATTGAGAAAAGCTTTTAAGGTATTATGTTTCATGGTGTGATCACATGGAACGTTTTACATTATTTAGAATGCTTTGACAGCTTTTTTGGTAGAAAATGTAAGTTTCGATTTCGAACTTAAACCGATGCAAGAAATATAGCCTTAATATTTCGGACTTCCTTACTAAATCATAGTTATTGTTTGTTCTGCTATTCGTCCGAGACTGAATAAAGAAACCCCTAAATTAGGATGAGAACCAGCTAACGTAAACAACTGGAAACAGTAAAAAAAGTTGCTTTCCTACCCAATGACCATGATAAGCTCTCCATGATTGAAACTATTAATAGTTTTCCCATAATTCCTAATCATGTAGATACAGAAGAAAAATACAAACTGACAGATCAGTTACAGAAAAACATGAAAAACCTTCGCCGATCCTATACACTAGGCAAGATGTATCTTGAAAATTCATCCGGGAAATTTTCAAAAATAATAGAACAGAAGATACTTTAGGAACTCTTATTAAGAAAACCTTTCTTCGACTCATCATCCTCATGTGATAAAGTTATGGCCTTACTAAGGAAAACTGAAGTACAGTTTTGTGTTTATTATAAAACTAAGGATCATCCGCCTATCAAAGTTATCATTACAGGACTCGTTGTTACGGATATTAACGAAAAGCTACTTGGCCAAAATATTCCTGCCTCAAAGGTGAAACAGTTTGAGAGGGAAAATGATAGATCTACTGTCAAGTTCCCGCCTTTCTTTAGAAGTTCCAAACACTGGTGATGGACTCAAATATTTAAGATCAGAACCCTCTCTTCTAGGTCAGAGTTCGAAAATTCATGCCAGGAAAACACCCTCTACAAAATCTCGGATCACTCTCTACAATATCTCGGATTTGTTTCCGATGACAAAGATTTGCACACAACCAAATCGGCTGCTTCAACGAACCCAGATGCTTGAAATGTTATTAACCGCGCTTAACACATTTACGTTTTCTAATGGGAGAAAAGTCACATGCCTTAGATGCCAAGATGACAACCCACGTAATTCTACGAAATGCCAGTTTTACCGCAAACGGATGGATTCTGAAAAGAATTTTCACAAAAAGAAGAAAAACGTTCCTTGGAAATTCCTTCCAAGATTCAAATCCTCAAAACTGATACCGCTGTTGAGAGCAATGTGAAAATGCCTCAGAACTTTTAAGAGAATTTTCTGTCTTTAATTAAGGAATCAAAGCTTTTAGTTTTTATTACAAAATTCAAATCGCGAGCCAGCAAAAATTACTTGTGCAGCTAAAACTGTTTTGTAAGGCTTCTCATTTTGATGATCTTAGTGCTGCCGATTCGCTCTTGCCAGATGTACATTTGATCGCCTCCTCTAGACCTTCATGGTGACACCTACACTTCGTGGTGACAATTGGTCATTCCGTACACTGCCTACCACAACCACCCTTTTCGAGGAGATATTCGCGGCATAACCTGGTTCGAATCGAATCGATCTGATTCAAATCGACAAAACAGAAGTGCCAGTTCAAGCGAGATTGACGTGTTTTTGCTTCATCAGAGATTTTGCTGCTTTCACTGTCGTCTGATTATGTTTTACAATCTCACAACAAATTGGTAAACAGAATATATATTCAGCGCCCCGTAAAATAGATTTTGCATATTGTGTCTTTTGCCTGGTACCATAATGGACGAGAATTTGGAAAATTTCTGTAAAGTTATACTAGATCAAAATACTGCGCTTAAATGCCAGAACGAAGATGATGGAAATTCTCAAGATCTGCAGTCTGCTATCCACATGTTACAACAATTTTAAACTGCGCTCTACCGTAACGTCCGAACATCTGCAAAACCTGTTCAGCATAATGAGGAATCTCACAATTGCCTAACTCTGATGATTCATTCTGACATGCAAGTTTATGATCAAAGATCTAGCAGCAAACGTATAAGAAATTTTTCATCCACTGAAGGAACACCATTAACACAGGATTCCGATGATGATTTATCTGGATTTAAAGGAGAACAGAGCAAAAAAAGCCAATTCTGAAGCAATGAAAGATGCCGTAAGTTAACATTCGTATAAAACGAGCCAACTCTCCACTTCCAAGACGACAAATATTCCCGACAGAAGACCAAAGGTACTAGAAATTATTATTGAAAGCATACATCAGTGGTAGAATCTTCACACTTTAATGGCTAAACACAACATTACACAAGAAGATAACACAGGTGAAAATATCTGAAACGGAATCAAAATTCAAATCAGATAACCACTCTTATACAAAGGACTGACGAAAGTCTTTACTGATGAAGGAATTCGCTATCACTGCTATAAGGTAGTAAAAGAGAAAATAAATTAAAGGTATTCATTAGGAATCTGCCCTCCTACTTCGTAAATGAAGGCATTCAAGTGAATTTACAGGAAAAAGGATATGATGACATCAGCGTGTACCGGTTCAAAAGACGATATAATGGTGATCTTATGAACTTTCTTCCATTCTTTGTCACCCTGCCTAAAACTGTGCACAGTAAAGAAATCTACAATGAACGCTTTATTCAGTTCATGGAGGGAAATGTTGAGCAATATCGAGGACATGGTGTGCTCTCGCAGTGCTGTCGTTGCTTAGGGTTCCACCACGCACAGGCGTGTCGTTGTTACGAGCCATGAAGTGTTCGTTGTGGTGAACACCATAAAATTAGGATGCGTAGCAAAGAAATCTAATCTAAATCCCATCTAAATGTGCCAACTATTTGCAAAGTGGGCAACACTGCAAATTTTCGTCGCTGTGAAAAGTTTCTGAAACAAAAAACTGCTCCCCAAACTAAACAATTTACGGATTCTTTAATCTTCCACTTTTAATTCTTTACTTTTAATCGACCAATTCAGTGCAGATGAGAACTTACACTGAACCCCGAAAGTTGGCAGAGATCCCATCTGATTTTCTCTAATGATTAAGAACAAACGCATTAATTGACCTCAGACCTTTTTTACTCCGTCGAAACTTTTGAAGTCAAATTACGAATATCAGCTAAATTATGATCACGGCGACATTCGCAAGGAAACGTTCCTCATTAAGAAAATAGATTTAATGACTTTCGTGATATCCCCTGGCAAACCCTGGTTGAGTAATTTGTGAATCATGTCACAAGAAAAATCAATTTCTTTTTCAAACCATGGATAATAACACCAGAAATTAGAACCCCGTATGTTTCGCAATATGGAACGCTTGTGAGCTCCCTAACAGACTTCAGAAGTTGCAAAACTTTTTCTATAATCAGGACATAGACATTGGATTGATAATGGAATCCCATGCACATATATGCCATGATCTCAGTATTCCTAATTCCTGCCAATGTAACAATCCAGCATATCTGAGATGTCATTGGTCGTCGTTCGCCTTCTCTACTCTAGCTATTGCAGGAGGACGAACTTTGGAGAAGGGTTCAGAGCATATCAGCTTCCATCCCTCAGGACACTATCCGCTCATTAATGAATCTGTACCTCGTAGGGCTGCAAATTGCATAGCCATGAGACGTAGCCATACATCTTACTGGTTCCCTGTATATTTCAGCACTATATAAATTTATCTTTCTACAAATAAACTCCTGTTTATCTTTCTATAAATAATGCAAATTTACATATGCATGCTCTATCTGTGTATCAATTAGCATCACATTCCACACTGTCATTCAAGGTGTTGCATTTTCTATGTCAGACCCCGCAAAAAGGAAAAGGTGACGTTGTCTTCTGTCACGACCTCGGCGAGAAAGTGAATTTATCACTTTTACCACTTTTATCCGATCATGAAATTTTTTGGTCTCTTGATATACCTTAGTATATAATTTTAAATATTTCGTTTTCTTACTTTTTTTAATGATGTGAGTATCATCTTAATGAATAGAAGTTTATAAAAAGAGACAAAATTTTTTTTTAAAAAATCTGAAGGCTTTTAGATTTTATATTACTCCCAAACGGGCTTTATTTAACGTTTTGTGTGTTAACATTATTTATTAAATATCATGTTCTTCGCACTTAAACCATAAAATTAAATTCAACAGCAATATCACAAAATATTTAAAACTGCATATCTTTAAAATTTCCTATACACAGTCTAGTGCGCTGGAGGTAAAAAAAAATTTTTTTTTTTTTGTACGTACAGTGTTGCCATTGCTCGCTTTGAAATCGTTGACTTTCTTAATCAAAAACTCATAAATGCTTTACAGAATATGAAAAAAGTAAGAAAACAAATTCCTAATTCCAAATCAGAGCTTCCAGATGCCCATATTCGGGTGGAGACGTATGTTATTCAAAACTTGATAGTTCTAGGTACCTTTGTTTCATCACAATGCGAGAAACATACATACATTTATGCAGATTTTTCCTCATTTAATTTCTTTAAATATAATACAGGGCTCTAATGCTTAGTGGCAACAATTTGAAAAAAGATTCAAACTTTTAAAGGTTTCAACACAACATGTCAAACGAAATTAATAGCCCTTCTGGGCTAAGGCCTTTTCAGCTAATAAGTAGTTATACAAATTTAGGTATTAAATGCAGATTCAAGGTCTTCAGCAGATTCAAACACCAGTACCACTCAAGGAGTTAAATACCGGAATTAATGTAGTATGTATTAAGTACGTTTTATTGAATTATGTTATTATTTTAAATAAATTGCGAACAAATGTATTATGTATTAAATACGCTAATGAAATATAAATTTATATATAATTCTTTCTATATGTTTATATTAAATAACTTATGATTTATGGTATGTAGCACAGGTAGCCATAGCTCGCGAACCGCAAGCGGTTTTTATGCAAATGAAATATATGTATAAAATATGGTAAACTACTCAATGTGCAAAAGAAAGTAACTTATTTCATTTCAAGTTTTCAGTAAACTTAAGCTGATCAACATCAAAATGTAATTATTTTACTTAATTAAGAAACTTAATAATGTTATACAAACACATACAAAATAAATAAATAAATAAAAATTTTGTACTGATTCTATGAAATAATTCTTTAAAAAAAATTTTTATAAGTTACATTTTCTTGTGCATGCTTTAAGAATGGATTGATGGATGATTGTGAATGCTTTACAAGAACGGTCTGCTGAATTTCTGAAGCCTTAGCAGCGGTAGAAACTAAACTTGGGTGGGCTGTGAGCGGAATAGAAAACACATGAAATGCATCAGAAACGTTTACTATCCCACACAATTTGATACAAGTTAAAAAATAATTTAGAGGTTGATTCAACGCGAAAATTCATTTGAAATTTATGGCAATTCAAATTCATTTCTTTCCAAATTTTTAATAAATTTGTTGACAGTAACAGCTTAGAAGACGATGATTAGATTTCTAGAATCCCTAAACTTTGCGGGCAACTGATATATGGCTTGCTTGCCATGGAACGAAGACGTTAACATGCCAACATTTAATGATCGGGGTTAATCCTGAGGTACCAAAAAACAATCTGTGCAATTGTGGAACAACTTACTAAACAATCTGTGCAACTTAAGAAGAAGCCAAAGTTTTATGAGCATTACAAAGCTGGAATAGATAAACATTTACATGAATATATCGAGGCAGAAAACATTAACACATTTAAAAACTAAAAAAGAAACCATTTGACCGATCTGTAAATCGAGAAACAAGACACCATATTTTGTCTTCGACGCATTATCGCTTATGATTTATGGTATGTAGCACAGGTAGTGCTACATACCATAAATCACAAGACATCGATAGTATCTTTGCATTCGACGCATCATGACATGCTGAAGACAAACTATCACTGAATTACTGTTTAGAGTCAGACGTTTCTTTCCATTTGAAACCTGTTGCACTACTTTTAAATTGATGAAATATGGACGTAAGACTTGAGGAAAATCTAGTTGCAGTTCTTGAATATTCCTGAATTCCAACATACGACTCGTACTGACACGAACTAAAGGCAACCCTGTGTATATAGATAATGAATGAATTACTATTTATAGTACCATTTATCGTTTTGTGGATGTTTACAACATCTGGCAACAAATCGCACTTTCTTACCATCTAAATGCGCTAACGCTATTCATTTTCTCGTAAAAGCCGTCACAAAAGACAAGCAACATTTCAACAAAATCATTACGAAAGCATACCTTTACAACAGGTGTTAGCGAAATCTTCAGAGTTAGCCTTAACCGAACACAAGAAGTCCAGATCCTTTTTTGGTACATCATAGCATATTCCAATGTTGTAGGCTATAGCAAATAGTTTAGAAAAACCAGAAGATATGCAAAAGCTTGGAAAAATTCGAAGGATCCAAAGTCCCACTTCAAGAGGAAAAACTTCATAGTGATAGCTGTCGGCGAGTATTTTCAAGGCATTCAACGTTGTAGCGATGATTACTCCTAAAAGTATGATAACATGAAATCAATTAGTGAATTATAATTGTACGAAGCATATTATAACAATTTACATTTAAAATGTAAGAGAATTTTTTTAAAAAAATATTTCAGAAATTTAAATAATTTCAGTAAACACCATGCTCACAAAAGTCCTTGCATTGCCTTTAGTTTCACAGCTGTTGGACAGAGACATCCACTCAAAAAACTGTTTTGATATGATTAACTCAAATATTCATATTTTGATTCTTTTTAATTTAAAAGCTCCGTTTTTCAGAAACGATGGGATCTCAACACTTTATGAAGTCTTTCGCTCCCTAAAGTAAAACTTTCTATTAAAAATACAAAAGCAAAGAAAACACGAAACATTTGACGATAAAAATACTTTGAAAACAAGTTTTTTGCGAATAAGTTGTTTTTGTATATTGTATTTTTGCATCTTGTTAAACCTGTATATATAGTTATGTTACGTCACTACTAGCTCATAATATTCACACTTCGACGATTTTCTAGCTTGCCCTGACGTAAATCCTTCTAAATTCTTATTTTAGAGGAAAAAAAGTTACATTAGGAAGAATTCGATTTCTTAGTTTCTTTAAGTTATGGTTCTAATCTATTTCCAAACTTTTAACTCAGCTACAGAAGGGGTAGTGCACTATGCGCAGGCACCCTGGTACCTAACACCGTTACTACCAGACATATTTAATATCAAACTTTGAGCTTTTGACATCATTTTCTAGTTGCCTTAAGAGGTCGGTAAATAAATAAACTAGAATACATCTATTTTTCTCTTTAATTCAACGATATTCTTTTGAGGTTTACTAAATATATGATAATACTAAATATACTTTTAGAATAGTTTTTTTTAAAATCGTAGGGCGAAAGAATTTTTACACCAGTAATTTATAAGTTTTCAAACGCTAAAAACAAGTTATTAATATTCTCGAGAAATTTTGTTACTTCAGAATCATAATCTAATAATCATGAAAAAATTCATTGAACCAGAAATATTTTCCCCTTAATTTAATTTAATTTATTCAAATCATGTTAAAGTTGGTTACGAGCGAATACTGTTTTCTAAAACAGTAATTCTATCAGACTCCGTGAATAAGATATCTTTTTTGAAAGAACAAATAATATTGATCAGTACTTTTCCCGACAACCTGCATAGAAAAGTTCGTCATTTAATTTACTAACATTAGAAACATTTTACTCTGATATTTTAATTTGATTTGCGTACAAATGCACACACTTTGTCCCCTTCAGTTTGTCTATGGCCCCTAAATACGGTTTCAAACTTTAAAATTAAATATCTTGGTCAAAATTGTTTTAAACAGAGTCGCACACTTTATGTCACATTTTAAATAGTAAATATAAAATTTTCCTAAATATAACTATCGAGACAAGGTGACCATATAAAAAATAGATCTCATAATTTGGACAATTCTACATATTATTGTAATTTAAATTACCAAAACATGAATATTTTCGTATTATAGTTCGGTAGTTTTCTGTTAACAAGAAGCCATTCGCCAAATGAACTCCAAAGCGCCAAATGTGGTAGCCTGTTTATATTATGTCATGACAGAGTTTAAAGGTTTGGTTTATTGAGATTACGGCAAAGCACACTAGGGCTATCTGCCTAGGAGGAGGGATGCCTTTGTGGAGGACTTTCTAAGGGAAAATGGCTCGTATACACGTTACACATGGGGAAAACCACGAAAACAGCCATGCAGCCAGCCCGTTCGCGGGATTCGAACCTCGGACCGAACTACCAGTGTTCAGCGACTTTACCGCTCGGCTGCTGGTGGGACAGACTTTAAAGGAATGTTAATGTGTGGAAGCTGTTAAATTGCCCACAGCTTCCACATTGCTGAAATTAAACATTATATATTTGAATTTAACAAATTTTCTCTATTCGTAATAAAGCTAATTTAAAGATAATTTTAATTTTTAAATTATGAAAATTGAATTGTATACAAGTTAAAAGATTATCATTGCTGCGAACTAATTACAATATCATTTAAATTCAGAGAGCATATGTAACTTAATCGCAAGTATCTAAAACCATGAAAAAATATTTAGTTATCCAAAATTAATCCTAAAAATTTCTAAGACTAAATTAATTTGCATAAAAAGAATAATTGTTGAGCAGGCAGGAGACAGATCTTTTCAAGGGGAAGTTGCCTCCAAACCTAACTCTTCAATTACTCAATTCGTGTTTCGTCATCCATATAAGTATGGGTATAGTAATATATAGAACCAAAAGTAAAACCAAATGAAGTGAATTGCTTAAAAGAAATTTTAACTATTAAAGAATTTCGAGAAATTTAGTAAGCAAATCGACTAGGAAACAAAATTATTAATTAAAAGTATATTGCGAATGTAATTAATAGAAATCCAACGTAATTTAGAAACGTTTGCCAGATACGAATTATGCATGTAAACCAAAATAAATTAAATACAATCTATAAAAATACAAAGATACAAAAATAATACCTAAAAGGCAAGTAAATAATAAGTTTTAAGTGAACTTACCTTGCAACTGCATATTTTGTATGCTGGAGAGTGGAGTAGCATTTGCTAAACAAAGTGAGGTTCAGTAGTTCGTTTCTGCTAACTGTATAAATAGACGGCGCTAGTACTATTCAAAATTGAGTGTTAAGCTATTATCTGTGTGAGCTATTGTAAAAAACCCATGCTGTAAACTCTTAAGTAATGTAAAATGTACAAGGGTTGGACAAAAATATGGAAACACCTTTAAAAAAACATGTTTCTTTGCTTAATATGGTGTAGGAAACCCGTTGGCATCCAAAACAGCTTGCAGTCTTCTCGGAATGGATAAATACAGTTCCTGTATGTTTACCAAGGGAATATTATACCATTCTTCCTGCAAAACGGTGGCAAGTTCAGATAACGATGCTGGCGGTGGATAACGAGAACGCACTTTCCGTTCCAATGTAGACCACAAAGGTTCGATAATATTCAGGTCTGGTGACTGTGGTGGCCAGGGGAGATGGGACAACTCATCCTCGTGCTCAGAAAACCAGTCCTGGGCAATGTGAGCTGTGTGAATAGGGGCTTTGTCGTCTTGGAAGACACCATCACCATCGGGGAACAAAGTTTGTACCATGGGATGAACTTGATCGGCCAAAATGTTCTCATAAGTCTTGGCAGTCATGTACCCTGACACAGTTAACATGGGGCTAGCAGAGAACCACGATATGGCTGGCCAAACCATAACAGAACCCCCGCCATGTTTCACTCTTGACAACAAGCAGTCTGTATTATAGGCTTGAGATGGCGTTCTCCAGACGTAAACTCAGCCAGAAAGTGGAAAACAATGTGAAAGAAGACCCGTCAGACCATATTACTCGCTTCCACTGCTCTATAGTCCAGGCTTTATGACTTAAACACCACCTTTCCCTGTTACGGGCATTAGCATCACTGATGAGTGGCTTCTCAATTGCAGCACCGCCAGCAATTCCCTGTTTATGAAGCTCCCTTCTAATTGGTTTGGTACTCACAGGGTTCGGTAACACAACATTCATTTCAGCAGTAACTTTTGCAACTGTGGTCTTCTTATTTTTCGTCACAATTGACCTTAATGATCGTCTGTCACGATCACTCAGGACACACTTTCGTCCACGCTGTGATTTAGCAGATGATGTTTTTCCACTTTTCAAATATGCGGAATAAATCTTCGATACAGTACCTCTTGAAACACTAAACACCTCGGCTACCTTGCTTACGGAAGCACCTACCATACATGCTCCAACAATTTGCCCACGTTCGAAGTCTGTTAACTCTGACATAATGCAATGAAAACCTCACATAACAGTACTTCGACAACAACTGAACTGTTTAGCACATTTACGAAGTTGTATAGGTGGCGTCAGTAGTCAAAAACGCCAGCACCACCTACATATTTCATTAAAATCAATCTTTCTTTTCAAACATGCATTTCACAAGGTGTTTCCATATTTTTGTCCATCCACTGTAAAATGCTTGTTCTGTGTGAAAAAATGTTGCTAACTGTAAAGGATTGCAAAAATATTGCAAACTGTTACGGATCGTGAAAATATATATTGCAAACTGCCACGTTCGTAAATTTTAATGAATTAAAAGTCCGAATAAACGTTTAAATTAATTTAATTTAATTTAATTTAATGTTTGAAATTGTTTTAAAATTATGTATTTGTCAGAAATTTTTTATAATAAACTGAATTCATTAAAACTGAAAATCTACAATAAGTTAATCAAAACCTTAATTAAATACTGACCAAAGGTAACGAAAATTAGAAAAAGATAAAAATCTTCACTCAATTCGGGCTATAACATATATATATATATATGTGTGTGTGTGTGTGTGTAATAACAGCAAGGTTAAGACGGAGCAGCTTCGTTGCGAATAGTTATATAGGATAGATCGCAGATCCATATTGAAGAAGAAGAATTCTGATTGCGTAGTATGCAAATATGTTGACTCCGGAATATCTAAAAAACTTGTCAGTCGAGGCAGTTTTAATTCCACTTTTATTTGCAATTGATGTTTGTGGCCACAGTTCACTTGGCACTCTAGTCGTGCCTATTCAAGGACATTTACATTTTTGATATGATTGCGATAGAAAGCTAACTTACGTCCAAGCACCCTACAGACAGAAGCTGAAGTGAAAAGTTATAAACTATGGAAACACAAGAAGAGGAAGGTTCTGGTTTGAGTTAAAAGTTTCAGTTCCCAATTATTACGTCATCAGCGCTGCGCAGGCCATGCAATACGGAGTGATCTAGAAATTCAGGAATCCAGAGAAGTTATTTCGATTTTTAAAACAGAGAGGGAGAATTTAAAGGGTTACCGTTAGTTTAAATTATAATTTTGATTCACATATTCCCCCCCTTTGAAAGAGAAAAAAGCTTGGCGACAGAAAAGAGTCTTCTTTAGAAGAAAGCATTACACCAGTAGCGAAACAAAGTAAAATACAATTGTGAAAAAAAAAATCACAGAATTTTGTCCTAAATCCTTTGTTAAACTACAATCTTGTAGATATCATTTTTAATGATAAATGCAAAAAATGAAATTTTTAATGAAAGTCTGCAAGTTTATTTTTCTGTAAAATCACTGAAGGAATGTTCTAATTTTTTCAACAAATACTGGAAAAGTTCACAGTTCTATAAAATCACTGAAGGAATGCCCTAATTGTTTTCAAGAAATACTGGAAAAGTTCACAGTTCTGTAAAATCCTTGCTTGAATACCATAATCGTAATATTTTGTTTAGCTTGAAAATCTTTCATAAGAATTGTAGTTGTCAATGTAAGACCAAAATTTTCTTTTACAAAATCATGAAATTTGAATTAATTATTTATGAAATAATCCACATTTTCAGAAAGCAAGAAGTGATAGCACACGCCCGCTGTCCTGCTAGGGAACATTCCTAACACTCCTTCAAAATTTTATTTTTTATTTTATTGTTAGGAGATTCAACTATGGCCAAGAAACTGGCTTGGGTTTTTGCATACTTTCCACACCACCCACGATCCTCTTACCATAGTTTAGCACAAAAGTGCTACCACACACACATAACACATATACTTCACATAATTTAAGAAAACAAAAAATTTCTTTATTTTTCTTTCCTATACAATTCTGTAACAAAATTTTTTCTTTTCTTTATTCATTTCTTGTTTCTAGAATTTTAAAAAAGACTTTAACTTCATCACACAAGTTATTTGTCTTAAAATTTAATTTTAATTTTGTAGGAATTTGTATTTTTTTAAAATTTTTATTTGATTTATTTAAAAAGAATTTTTTTTTCAAAACACTTTGATAAAATGTACAATGCCCAAAACCAGTTACCTTTTATTTGGCAATGGAGGTTTTTTGATAATTTGTACTTAAGCACCCCCAACCATCAGCAAATTAGTCACACTGATTTGTTGGAGAGAACATGACAAAAATTTAATTCAAGTTGTTGGGATCTCCCGTAGAGGGCGTTAACTGTATTATGTAATATAATGTAATTAAATGTGTTTATTTAAGATGTGGAGCAATTTTGAAGGAGTCTATATCAAATTTTTTTGAGCCACCAGTGAGGGTTGAACTCACGACCCCTGGCTTACCAGACTTGGGGTCGTGAGTTTAATCCTCATTGGTGGTTCCAAAAAAATGTGATATATGCTCCTTCAAAATTGCTCCCCATTTTAAAAGAGCATATATCACACAAGGTGTTATTGTCTTATGAAATATTGCATCATATTATTAGAGATTTATATTGAATTGTTTTCTTAAGGTATTATATCATAATGTTCCGTATTGAATTTTTATATTGCTTTAAAATATGTCAATGTGTTCTTAATTACCTACGATGAGAAGAATGAATGCAATTAGTACATTATTCATAAATTGCATCTGAATTTTTATATAAAAAGATGTTCCCCCCAAAATTTCAAAATCTTCTATTCGATACTTACTATGGAATCATCTTCATGGGAAAAGTGCATGATATTTGTAGACTTATTTTTATTTTGTGGACTTATTGGCATCGAGAGACGAATGAAAATCATTTCATTCGACTTCACTATTTTTGTGAAAATTTCAATTTTCAATGGACATTTTGAAGAAAATTGAGGACTTTTATAATTCTAATTTATTAATTGGTATTATTCTTACATATGATACTGTCTTATAGTTCTAAATTAGATGTTTAATTATAAATTATATGTTTATTTCTAAATCATAGGTTACATGCGAATGTCTTTTAAGATTATTAAGGAAGAAATTCAGCTTGTAGTCAAACATATTTATTAAAGCTTATGTAGAATAAATGTTTGAGACATTAAAGTATAGAAGAAAAAGTAGATGCGATCATAACTGATGCCTGCAAGCACAGAGTCAGTAATATTTAACACATTCTCATGGTACATAGATTATCATTAACTAATCGAATTGCAAGCGAGACTGAATTATCGGAGGCTTTCTAGTATGCATAGCCTGCCATCTTGCTCCTTCACGAATGTCTTTTCGCTATGCCACTCTCTCTCTCCTCGGCGAAAAATGACTGTGTTCCCAACTGTCATGTTCCCAACAATAAGGTGATGATAACGCCATCCTTTGATGGGAATACGAAGCATACCACATACATACAACACAAACTAATATCAAAAGTTAATTTTCTCCCCACGTAGCTTTACGTATTAGGTTTGCCGCCATCTGGTTAGATTTCGCGCCAACGTTTATGCTTAGCACCAAGTGGCTCCCCGTTAATAAAAAGTAGCAATAAATTCTATAATTTGAAGTACAACCACAGTTGCGAAAATAAAGGCTGCAAAAATCACTTTTGCAGACACGGTATACATGCGTATATATATATGCGTATATATCGATATATATCCTGGAGAAACAACTTACCAGTTATAACAGAAATCATCACGAGAATTGAAAAGCCAGAAGTACTTTTCTTAAAACGGAAAGTAAACAAATAGCTGAATGGTATAGATGCCCATCCATACATCATTGTCAGAAGAATTAGAATGCCTGCGGAATAATTAAAAGATACAATGAATTTCTTGAAAACAGTAGGAGTAAAACTGAACGTATTTCTTGTTAAAACGGCCCCCGCGTAGGTTCTTGCTTACATTTGAAATTTTTATATTTCACACTGGGCGATTAAATTTGCTAATTTTGGCGATTAAACGCGGTAGCCGTATTAACAAGGAAATATTAAATTACAGTATAAAATCTTCATATTAAAGTATTAATACCTCCAGAAATTTATCTTTAAAGTTTAAAATAACATGAAAAATGCTAAAAAAATATAAAAATAAGCTTTAGAAGAAACTGCAATCTGGTCTCAGTATGTAGATTTCGGTTTAACGTCTAAAGTGATTTTAAACTACTCAGTTACGAGAACCTTTTTAATTTAAAAATTTACTCCCAGAAATTAAACGCATAGAACATAAAATCCTATTTAAAACTAGGCAAAACAGCAACCTTTTTGGCATATACTTTAAAACTCTAATTGAATTCGAGATGAATCTGGCATACCTCCTTCCCTCGAAATCGACAGAGATTTATTTAAAATCTACATCAAAATATGGTTGCTGTTTTGTTTAATTTAAAATTTTACATTGGCGTGTTTCTCTCACATTTTGATAAAATCTTATTTTCAAAATGAGTCATTTAGAAAGACAAATGGTAGAAAAACATTTTACTATCATACTGTTTCATCTTAATTTAATGTCCCATGGAGATTTGTGTATCTGTTCAATAAAAAAAAAAAAGATTTAATTATTCAAGACGTAGCTGAGCTGGATTATCCCTCAATCGCTTGAGCATGAAGAGTGCAATAAAATGCAACATCAGTTTTTAATTTATCTCGTAAATTAATATTTAATTATTAATTCTAAAATAATAACTAAAAGTAATGCTGAAATGCAAATTTTTTTTATAAATAATATGTTTATAATTATATATTCAAGGAAACGTTTAACTAACAAGATTTAAAAGTTTTTCTATCCGTGTTTGTTTTGTATTATTTATCAACAGTTTTTCAATTGTATACTCACTTTTGTACAACTGCTGGTAAATATTTTAATTGGCACCTCTCAATTTAAAAGTTTTTCTTACAATTTGATGCGCTTTTCTACATTCGAATATATTTAGGCATAAAAAGCAAAATTCTGGATGTTACTAATTTTGATTATGCCGTGTCATTTAGTAACTTCGGAATTATTTTTACTGTCAGATTCTTAGTTCTTACACATTCCACTACATCATAGTAAGGTTTTGCACATGTTGACTCAACATTGCCGCCAAATGACATATTTTAGAACTCGAGCACCGCATTTTTAGATCTATTTAGCACTTTTTCTGTTAATTTTGTGTGTTTAAATTTTGGTTTTGCTTTTCTTTTGTAAAAAAAAAAAATTACAAAGTTATATATACAGCTATTGCTCTTCTATTTGCGATATGCTTGATTTCAATAAAAGACGTTTACTCACTTTAGTATTAATTTTGATTAGATTTTCAAAAAAATGTCATTGCTTCTTTCGCAGTGAAGAGCACAGAATTTCTGCGAAAGCATTTGTATTATTTCATATTATTTCTCATGAATTTATTTTTTACGAAAAACACTTCAATCAATTAAAAAAATTTTTTTCAAGATAATTTTTCAAAATTTCTCATTTTGTAAGAAGTTAGTGTGTTGTTTCTAAAGAAAGGAGAAATTTTACTTTTTTCCAAGAAATGTATCAAAATTCATTCTCAGAAGGAAACACTAATGTTACTATACACTGAAAACGCAAATATTTAAAAGTTTTTTTTTTCACTTCTAGATCAACCTGTAACTATAGAGATTTTTTAAATTATAATGATACAGTTTCTTGCGATCACACTAAAACCAGCTCAACCGAAAGTGCGAGTGGTTTTATTAGCACAAAAGTAGGATAGTATCGATTTGTTTTAGAAAGCTTACTTAATTAAAAAAAATTCTTCCTTTAATTTTTGTTGACATAGAAATAGGATGAGAAAAATAAAGTATTATTTTATTCATTTTTGATAATTTTATTCAAACAAGAATATGATTTAAGGAAATGAAAATAATTTTTATTTGTATAATCTTTGTTGAAATAATATACGAAAGCAATGAAAAATAAGCAGCTCATTTATCCGTATTTTATTAATATCTGATAAGTTGTGATACTGGTTACTTTAGATTTTTTCCGCATTTTCTTTATCTTCACGAATTGTAACTGTTAATACAGATCAAGGATGGGCAAATATTTTTAGCCACAGGCTAGAATGGTCTTTTTTAATGCATCATGCGAACAAGGCCGTGACGATCTTTTGCTGCGCAGTTATTGTTTGCGAGGACCCTATAAGAGTGAACACCTAAGAAACTTAAAAAAAAAATTAGAATAACAGCTAAAAATATTACAAGCACGTCAAAAAAAGATCTTTTCCCGTTGACCATTAAATAAATGACGTGTGTACAGTGTAAATAAATGACGTGTTTAAAAATTTAGACGTGAAATATTCTTTCCCTAAGCTCCTTTTCCTCATCAGTCTTTTTACCTAAATAATATCCATACTTAATTGCTTAATTTCTAAATTAAAGCTGCTAGATATGATGGGTCTATATTCTTCGGAGGTTGACATGATTTCTAGCATGTCTAGGGTTGTCAAATTAAGTTGGTCGCTAGTATAGTCAAGCGTATATATGCGCATATACACTGCAACAATAGATGCGCACTCATAACTGCTGATTCAGGAGCTTTCCTACAAATCTGGCTAGGAAAGAGTTGAAAATGTTTTATACAAGAGCTTATAATGGGCCGTATTAAGCAATCAAAAGAGCCGCATTCGGGCTGCAGACCGGCTTTTGTCCACCCCTAGTTTATATAACTGAAATTCTATTACACATTAATCTCTTAATGTGCAATTATTCAGTACAGAAAAAATATATAAGAAATACGTACTTACCTACTGGCTCAAAATGAGAATACAGGAAAATTAAATATGGCTAACGGTATAAGTAGGAGTAGGCAAACAATGAACTGCATAAACCAATCCCATATGAACATAGATAGCCAATATACTGGAGCTGTAACTCCTGTCATAAATTGCAACAATTTCGCCTTTGATGTCCTTTCTTGATTAGGAAGCAACACAAAACTGGCGGACAGAAAGGCGAATGCTAAAGGAACTAAAATACCTGTCATAATACGCTCATGAATATGTTCAGGATTATGTCTCAAGTAAATACTGCCACCAGGTAGAGGCGCATTAGTTAGATGTATAGAGCCTGTACCAGAAATATATCTTAACATAAAAGTGTGGGAGAGTAGAAGAGACATAGGTGCACTATGGCATGCTTTATCGTTGAACCAGGCTGTTAAAATCAGAGAATCATTGATGTTTTCACTACTAGTCCCTATTAAAAATTTTCTTTCGTACCTGGTAAATGATTTAGTGCCATATTCCATAATATATTTATTGGGATTATTAGTATTTCTAGCAGAAATATAGTTTTCTTCAAAGACATTTTTCAAATGTGCTGCAATTTTATCTTCATTTGTAGCGTAAAAACCATCTGTTCTGCCATACACGTTTTTTATATTTAGTTTCAGAGGTGAATAAAAATATGCACTGAGGCTGGTCTCATTCGGCATGGTGGAAAGGCAAACCACCATAAATATAATTGGCAGAATAAACTGAGCAACTAAAATGCTCCAATTTCTTCTCGCATGATGAAAGCGTTTAATTAAGAGACCACGCAATTGCATGGTAAATTTTCGGGAGTGTGGAGCTTGATTAAAGTCATATACACCTGAAAATAAATAAAAATATTCTAAACAAAATTGCTTAAATAATAATTAGTAATTACATATATATTAATTAAATATGACATTTATTAACTTTTCATTGATATAACATTATAATATTATTAAATTTAACGTTTTAATACGAACAAAAAAAGCAAGACAGACCAGGAGAAAGTAACAGAATGCCTAAATTTTTCAACTAAGTACATAAGTAGGTATAAACCTTTTGAACTATTGTTTTTTTAAGCGGAAATACTATAGATTTAATGTAGAACAACAAACAGAAATATTACAATTATATTATAAGATGGCAACATTAAATGTATATATGCTCTATAGCAGATACAGTAGTGGTTTCAAAAGAGAAAGAGACAAATTGCCATTATTAATTCTTTTGTCGGCTTGGAAAGTTTTCTCTGAAAACGTAGAAAGTTTTTAAAATTTGTTATTTTTAAGTTAAAGTAAGTTATTTAATGATTAATGAAACACATCAAAATTATCTGAAATAAATATCAGTCTAAAATATTCATGTTGTCTTTTAATAATATCTTCGAGTTACGAAATATAACCAACAAAAATGTCTTACAAATACCAATATAAGATTTCAGATTGAAAATAAATATAAATAATTTTTTTTTAATTTTCTTTTTTTCCTTATTATTGTTTATGAATCTTTTGACAAAATATAAAATTTTGTTGAAATATATATTATTTTGTTGATAAAAGATTTTCTTTTTGTTAAAAATAGACTCTTTCTTGCATCGACCTCTTTCAAAAGAATGTTCCAAAGGAAAGTTTTCTTCATCGATCCCCTTAAGTTTTCTCCAAAATATAGAGCATTCATAATACATATAATAGCTTATAAATAACTTAAATATAACAATTTGATTAAGAATATGAACGAAAGTTTTGGAAAAAAATGGTTTATTTGTTTTCTATTTTATTATTTTTTACACCATATATAATTTTTAATTTTACAAATACATTAAGTTTCTAGAATTACTTTAGAAATTTTATATTTCTCTTTCAATTAATTCAATTAGTTCTGACTTCGCGGCAAAGCAAAAATGCACAAAAACTCAAAATATCTTTATTAAAAATTGAAAGATATAGAAAGACATAAAACACTAAATCCAGTTAAAACAATTAAAAAATTACAATTAAAATTAGAGATTCTACGGAAAAACAAGCAATTCGGCTAACAGATTTTTGAGTACACAAAAATAAAAATTTCCTTTTGATCCCACTCTGCAAAAAGACACGGAAGGTGCAGAAAGACTTAATTTACTATTCTGCTAAGTTTCAAATGTAAACGAGTATGGCTGCTATGGTAAGAAAAATTAGGCTTAGCCGCACTTTAACAACTTTTAAATTCTTGATAATTCTACAACTATTCTATGCAGATTCGCTAAAGGCGTAAAACCCTTACTTGCAAGATAAGAACAACATAATTCAATCATTTTTAAATAAAAAAATGCGCAATTTACCAACATATAAGTATAAAAACTGAGCTCAGTGAGACGAGTTACAGAGTGGGTATATATATATATATTTAGTGCGGCCGATTGCAACCAAAAAAGGAGAGGTGCACAGCTACATGTTATAGCAGTCCTATTTACAAAATTTCAACGTTCTAAAGCTACTCGTTTTCGAATTTTTGAATTATGCGTGATATACAGATACATACGTACGTACGTACGTGCAGACGCCACGAAAAAAAATCTCTTCTTAATCCATTTTAAAACAGTTTTATAATTCATTTGGGGAAAAGAGTCCTTTATTCTGTCCTTACGTACAGATATCACGCATTGTCACGTCAGATGTCAGGTTGTTAAATTACATTCGATAGCGGTTAAAATAGATATTTTCTTTGAAATATGATACCAGGAATTTTTCATGATTACAATACTTTCTTTACTTCTTACAAGGAATTAAATATCAATAAACAACGAAATATAATCTAAACCATTAAAATCTACTTTCATCGTGTTAGGTATAATACTGCTGAAAATTTATAAGAATTATAAATAAGATATATTACACATCACATGACCTCGTATCATAAATTAGAACAATATATGCAATGAAAACAAATATATAATGTGGGTTTAAAAAGAAACGGATCACCAGGAAATTAAAAATCCCGAGATTCGTATCTCTAAAATATAGAAATGTTCTTATTAATTATTAAAATCCTGTAGTTATTTATAATTAACAACTAGATGTATTAAAAATTAAATGTCTTTCAAATTACATCAGCCATGAAAAATTACATGAATGCTTTGTATGCACAATTTTCAAAATAGCGGAAAGACGAAAATAGCATTGATAAATACTAAAAAGATACATTATTTTAGAGCCCATTGCATTTTTTTGGGCACAAGATGTCTTACTGCTAGTTTTAAATATTAAAGTATCAATATTAATTTCACATACTGTTTTATAATCAATAAAGTTTATCTAATACATGAAAGACATCTACAATAATGCAAATATAAAATTACCTTCAGAATTCAGTACAGCTGTATCTTTTAAATCCTTATTTTCTTGTATTTTGAGCTCTTTATCAGAAAGATTCGCTATACTAAAATAAAAAATAATAACTGCAAAGTATTAAACCGAACTTCTAATATGAAACTATACTTAAAGAGTGTGGGGCAAATAAAAGTGGACCGGAGAATAGAGTTACTCATTTGTTTTCCAAGTCACTTTTATTTGTCCCAACCTATAAAATTAATTTAAAGATTATACATAAAGATCATACATTATAAAAAGGACATAAGAATAGAAGCACTAACAAAGACAAAATATAAGACAACTAAATTAATTTTACAGATTCATTCTAATATAAAAATGAAATCATTAAAATTTCAAATGCATGGGACATATCGAACATGCGGTGATCAGCATCGGCTACCATGAAAAAAAAAATATCACTACTATATAAAGTATAGAGCAGACCTTGGGATGGCATATTCGGTTGCTGTAGTCAAAGCAACTGTAATTCGTTGCCGAAATTCAAGCGACAATAGCCGCTGGTGATCTCTATCGTGCAAATGAGTCTAAATCATGGACCACACCTGTTCAATCACTGAGCAGTTTACTGAACATATAAAACAAAGTAGAATCAAAACCTGTCATATAGCCAGAAGTAACAGACATTGAGCGTAACGTGTGGCCGCCCCTCTAGGGTGCTGCTGAAAATATAGGGTTCAAGATGTCTCTATTTAGTGCTGATGCTTAATTTAATGCAATTAACGCTTTGCAATTTGAAGGATGGCCACATATGCGTACCAAGTAAGAACGGAACTCGTATCAAATCGCTCGTTATACTTCTTAGTGCTGGATCGATATGACGACGTATAAGATTCCATCAAACGCTCTCCACAGAAGCACCATATGCGCAAACTTCCATGATGACGTTGCACGCAGGAGGAGTATTTGTTTGCTAAGACGATGTTATACCATTCACGCGTCCATGTTCATTGTTGAGTGCACCACTATAGCCACAGAAAGCTGTACTGTACCTGTACTGTAGCTGTAAAAGCAGAAAGAAGCAATAGTCGCCGTGAAAATAGTCCGTGATCTTCAAGCTAATATTTCGCTGTACATACAACACACATCGTAGTTTTTCTGATATGCGCCATGGCGCAGTTGTTCAAGATGGCTGCTTTTTTCTAAGGCGTCGAAGTAATTTGCGTCTTTTTTTGCGTCGAAGTAATTATGAGCTTGCCTATCTATCTACTATTCCTAGGCCCATAAATTCCATAATCACACGACAATATCTGATTTTGAACAACACAAGCAGCAGTTTGCCAGCATGATAACTGGTAATCATAATACTCTATTATACTCTTGCCATCAAATTCATACACATGCTGCTGTATATACCGTCCGATTAAAGCTCTACATTCATATTCAAACATACAAGTAGCAATCACGTAGGAAAACCCAGTCTCATTTCTTTTCTCTACTGAATCTAGGTTACGCTGCAAGCGCCATTGTTTGCTTATGTAATGTATTATAAATCATTTTCATATCTCATATAAGCTATCTATTAGGCAAATTTCACATTCGTCTAATATATGATAACTATTATACAAATTTTACACTCAGATCTTTGCTTCTTGAATTATTCTACAATACTTGTAGCCAGCTGTAAGCCAATCTGTCTAACCGTTTCGAACTTTGAACGCGCATGGTTCAACAAAGATGTGCCAAGCGCTGCATTATCCAATAGAAGTTTTTTAAAAGCGCTTTAAGAGTTAATAATCATTGATAACCGCAATG